CTGGAGGGAAAGACTAGTGGCAGCAACAATGATTTGTCACTTTACATTTCATCCAATCAGAGGCCACCTTGCCACTGGCAGCAGGTAACAGGAGCAGATAAATCTCCACTGACACCTACTGGCAGACTTTCACATAACATTTCATGAGAAAAAAAACAAAACAAAAACGTTTTTCATGCCAGTAATGGCAAACAGTATCCATCCTGAATTTTATAATACAGGATAAAAACTCAAACTCACCCCTCCCATTGTTATGCCATCAATAAGGGCGATATACGGCTTCCGGTACGATCCTTGAAAGAAGAAATAAAATGTATAAGAACAATGTGAAGCTGCCAGAGTGTTTGGATAAGTGAATGAAAACAGACAGGTTACATTTTTATTAAACAAAATAAATAAATAGATACATACATAAAATTAAATTAAATTAAATTAAATTAAATACATACCAATAGCATTGTTCAGAATATATTCCTCACGAAAGAAGTCCTGGGCAAGAGAGTCTCCGACCTTCCCGGCCTCTGTTACAGCTGAGAGGGGGAAAAAAATAAGATAAAAACAGTAATCGGTCACACAGGTCAACATAAAAACTCATCTGAAACTGATACCTGAACCTTGAAGGCAGCTTGCTTACCTCTAATGTCTCCACCTGCACAAAAAGCTTTGTCACCTGCTCCTTTAATGATCACGATGTCCGTCTCATTGTCGCTTTCCCATTTCTAGATTCCCAAACAAGGCAAAACACAGTTTTTGTTTACAGGAAATCTTCCTTTATTCAAAAACCTGCCTTAAAGTTATCGTTATTAAGTTATAGAGACTGCATGAGCAGCTACATCTGTGGTTTAAAGTGTGTGAAAAGGGTCTTTGTACAAAAATACAACCAAACATCTTCAGGACAGGTAAACCTGACAGATCTTTCACAATGTCGAACTACACATCGGTAAAAAAATGAAAGGAAAAGAAAAAACCTGTGCTCAGTGTGCTTCTTCAGTACTTGTTCATCCAAGTTTCTGGAATGCTACCGGACGGATGAACACTACTTCTTCTTTTGTTACTTCCTTTAGGGGTTGCTGTAGTGTGTTATCTACCTCCCTACCATCCTCCTCTGTCCCACATGACCACCTCCTTCACTACATCCATGAATCTCCTTTGAAGTCTTCCACTTTTCTTCCTTTCTTTCAGCTCTTTATTAAACATTATTTGTCCAATATATCTACTATCCCTCCTCTGCACATGTCCAAACCATCTCAGCTTTGCTTTTCAGACTGTCCCCAAACTGCCCAGCTCCCACATTCTCAGTTTGAGACTGACATCATGGAGATATTTGCTCCATAATAAGGAAATAATGACATCCCACAGCCTGCTGATAGCCTCATGTCATCCTTTTTTCCTTTTCATCCCTGTGAGTTGTTCATGCTGTAGATATAAAGAAGTGGTTGCAGTACTTTAGCATCTACGGAAGAAGAGTAAGTATTAACGGAGTAACTGTTCTGTTTTGGGAGTTTAGGTGACAGGAAATTTCAAACATCTCAACAAAAATCAGCTCACTGAGCCCCTCTTTGATCGCTCAGGACCTGGTGGTGCGTGGACGAGGAAAGGTCAAGATTTTTCTTTTAATTCGTCATATACCAGATTTTGATACTACATACCTTGAGCTGGGGGTAGATTTGCCGGATCATAGTAAGGTTGAGGGCATTCAGGACTTTGGGTCTGTTCATGGTGATCACACCGGTTCTGCCCACCTTCTCCAGGAGAACCTCCGGTTCTGCATGACTCGACATCTGTAGAACAGAGACAGGAAACCTCTATAGAAATATCTCAAAAACACTGAAAGACAAACACATTTCAACATCCACTCATCCAGGCAATGAGGAAGCAGTACAACCAAATGTTGGGGATCAGGATCCAGGAGGCTCCCTGATGCCCAACACTCTTCAAATCCTTATAGTGTGGAGGAGTAGTGGCTCTACTCCGATCGGACTCCTCAATCATTTAAACAAATCAGGACGGCGCAGTTGGTTCAACCCTGCAGATTCTGCTGCACAGCCTCTTAACAGGTTATGGACCCCAGACTGACAGCAGTATTTGGCTCTGATTTTAGAGAAGTTCAGTACAGCTGTGAACCCATGGTGCAGCTCAACTTGCTGCCGTTACCTTAAACTCAGCTTGGATGTGATTTGGGGATGGCTGGGATTTAAAGTGATCACCTTTTGCATTTGCTGGCCCTATTTTTTATTCTTGTTGCTTAAAAAAATGATTCTGGGTGATTTTCCTTTGAAGGCTGAAACCTGTACACTCTTCAGCAGTTGGTTCTCCTCGTTTTTGCCAGCAGATACTTGTTTGTGTTGTTGCTCATTACTAGTTTACATTTTTTTAAACTCAATGACATCAAAACAAATTTTTCTCTTGCACCTTCCCTCCAGCTTAGCCTGCAAACTTACGGTTCCCCCCTTTAAACAAGCCAAGCTAAAGGCCATCGTCACTTCAATAGAGGGAAGAGTCAATGTATGAAGGTTACTGATAGGTATGACTAATGATTAAAACTGATAAGGTTTTATTGATACCAATGCCATTACTTATTGATCCAGTTCCCTCACTAATTTATTTATGATGTATTACTCCAGTAACCCCCAGTGTTTCCAACATGAACCAGAAGAAAGATATAGTAAACTCAGCAGGGAAGCAGATTCTGTGTTCCTGCGCATGTCTGATGTGAGTGAAATAATCAGAGGAGGCAGAGGACCATTCTGCTGCTACAACTTCTCACCATGTGAGCCTGGATTCGCTGCAGCCTGCAGAGGGACCTCAGTCTGGAGGAAACAGCAAACACACGGAGCATTGATGACGGTTAATAAGCAGATCTGAATTAACTGGTTCAACTTACACCGCGGGGTAGCAGATACCCCGGCTACAAACACACAACCAGTCCCAGCAGGTGAGTGCAGGAAATCAGCTGACAGCCTTATATTGGTGAACAAACCTGCTGGGTCACTTTAGTGTATCTACTTGTGCCGTCCATAGCTCGTTTATGAGCAGAGACGGTCATTTAAATGTGCCAGAGGAAAAACAAGCCGGCTGCACCTCCCAGGTGAGGCTCGTACCTGTACGCAGACGTCAGGACCGTCAGAGACATGATGATTTTTGACCTGTGCCGCGGGGTCAATAGCAGAACCTCTACAGCCTCGAGTTTCTACGTTTACTTCCTGGAAGCGGGGATGAGCTCCCGCTGATTGGTGGGTGTCGGTGACGCCAGAGCGTCTCTCCGCGGTGTGTTTGTGCCACACCGCCACCTGCTGGCGAGTGAAGACGACACACATATTTATTACAGACTCAAAGGCCCAGATTAAGAGAAACACGTGGCATAAAAAACAAAACACAGAGAACATTTTAGTAAAGAAATACAGATGTGCTAGTCTCTCCACAGCTGGAATGGGTAACATGTGGTACTAAAAACTTGTATTACACACCAAATTGATTTTATATGCAGAAGCATTGAGCCTGAACTCAAACATGATTCTGCACCTTCAATAAACCAGAACAAAGCAAAAAATTTGACTTAAAGCAACTAAAATATATAAAATCAAAGTTTTTTAATTCAGATAATTCATTAATAAGGAAAATGTTCACCCTCATTGATGTTCACCCGAATTGACGCATCAATGAGGTCTCTTTATTAATAGTCACTTTGTCCAAAAGTGCTGGGTTTGCACAAGTAAGTACGTATTTTTTGTGAGTAATACCTGCCTCTCCTTTGCTGGAACCCAATAATCTGCCTCTTTGTCTGCTTTTGTGTGCTTTAAACAAGCTAAGTGAATTTTTTCATGTCTGATATCATGTGTCGTAGTTCCAGGGTTTTGTTTCTGGCTCTGGTTTTGAATTTATTACCACTCTAGTTATGTTGAGCTTTCCTGTCTCTAACTCTTTAGTGTCAGTTGCTATTTGGTTATTTGCTGTTTTATGCCAAGCATTTGGTGTTTTTTGTCATCTAGATTCCTTTTCCCTCCTCCCTCCTGTTGTTATCAGTTGTTTACTGTTTATTTCACTCCCTGTGTCCATGTAGTCTGGCCTACCTGTTGCTCTTCACCAGATCACTGTTGGTTTCCCTGTTTTGAGTCTGTGCATTCCTGCTTCATAGGTTTTTTTGCTTAACACCAAATAAATACTCATTATTTGTTTGTTTAAACCAACATTTCCGCATTATAACCCATCAACAATACACAAGTGAATTTAATAAAATAAAACAAACAAAAGCTAAAATTGGTCAGCCCCTTATTCATAAGAAAGCACAGTAAAACCCACAGGAAAACAGTCTGAGTATATTTTCCAGACATAATAAATCCTTAATTATTAACCTGTGAGCACTCAGAGCAACGCTGTCGTGGGAAACATATTGAACTTTGAGGACAGAGACAAAGTATTCCTAGTATTGGCTTGAGTTTTATCTACTGAGGCTCCTTTAAAGACATATTGTTGCAAACCAACTATATGAACAACTTTAAAAATATGATTTAAATATCAAAGTACCCCTAGGTGTACTGTACACACAGTTATCTTTGCAACAAGAAAAAAAAAATAAGCACATTGAAGTGGAATCAATTTAGTTTTTTTTCTGCTAATATTTTTTGTGTTAAACTTCAAATTATATTTACATTAAGCAGTTTTTCTGCTTAAATAAAGAATGAATTTATCTTCACCACAGAGTGAGTGTGCACCTTTCAGTAACATTTCTACATGCAAAAACAAGAGGCAGCAGGTCTGAACTTTTCCATGTAAACGGCTGATTTGCATAAGCTATCATGAGATAAGAGTCACAACAGTGGAAGTTTCAGGGTGTGGAGCAACGCTGTGAGCAAGGTGTGGCTGATCAAATCAGTTCAGTCACCTGGGTAAATAAAGTTTGGTTATATGGTCAAACAAAACCAATAAAAAAAACAAAGGGATATGGGATATTGTATAAAAACAAGACAGGGTGAGATTAATTTAAAAAAAAAAACTGACCATGCACTGAAATCACTTTTATTTCTTTGCTGACAAACACTGGATAAAAATAATGCTTGTTAAAGCTCACAATGATCTAAAGTAACTTGACAGATGATTCATTTGGTATCTATCAAAGTTTAGATTATTATTATTTTCTGACAAAAGCTGGACTGATTTTTTTTTTTAAGTAAAACTGTGTCAAAGCTCAAAATGATGAGACAGGAGCATGAAGGTTTCCGGGTTTTTTCCATCTAGTCGGAGTCGCTGCTGCAGGAGCTGCTGGAAGACTACAACAGAGAACATGAGTCGTGTTATTCATCAAAACTCACGAGAAGCTCAGTTTGTCAAAGTTTATCTAGCATTTAAAAAAGGCTGTCATGCAGGTATTGCAAGTTTTGCAAAAGCACTATGAAAAATACATTTCTGTGTTTTCCTGTGAGTTGCAAGTCCACAATTTGGTTGTGTTGTACAAATTTCTTATGTTATATGTCACACTTTGAATTTGTGGTTCGGTGCAATCAGTCTTACCCCGTGGCTGTCCTTTCCTTTCTTGTGACAGTGGCCATGCTTGTGACCGTGCTTGTGCTTATGTTTGTCCTTTTTCTTGTCCTTTTTCTTGTCCTTGTGTCCATGTCCATGTCCATGTCCGTGTCCATGTCCGTGCCCGTGCCCTTGGCAGGATCCTTGGCCTTGACAACAACCAGAACCAGGTCCGTGCCCATGTCCGTGTCCTCCATGTGGCCCATGGTGCTGAGGAGGACAGGTTGGTGGGACAGTCCCTGGAGGATAACCCTGTGGAGGGTAACCCCCCTGTGGAGGGTAACCCCCCTGCGGAGGGCAACCCCCCTGCGGAGGATAGTTCGGGTAACCAGGTGGGCCTAAAAAAAAGGAGAAATGAGGAATCAGCTGTAAGTTCAAGGTGATGATTGAGGGGGCGATCTAAAAGAGTCGTGTTTACCTTGGTTGTGTCCGTACATTTTGCTGCGTTACCAGGAGAAACTGCAGGTCCTGAAGAATAAAAACACAGATTTTAAATTAAAATCTTTGATAAACACAAAGACAAGAGTATCACAGGTGTATCACAGGTGTATCACAGGTGTATCACAGGTGTATCACAGGTGTATCACAGGTGAACATACCGAGTGCTGAGACCAGATCTGCAGATGCAGACGTCACCTGCTGCTGCTTTTTATGTGCAGCTGAACCTGAAGCAGGGGCCGAGTCTGAACTCCTATCAGACTATTTTCTGTTTTATGACCTACATGGGTGTGTGTGTCCAATCATTAATACAGTCAGCAAACTAGATTTTATAAGGGTGCACACCCACAGACCCACATGATCTATTTTGCCCTGTGGTTAGAGTTTTTTTTTTTAATCGTTTGCAGTCCTGCAAAACTTTTGAATACTTGGTGTCACCTGTTGATGCTTATAAAGCTGAGCATCTGCACAGACGTTATGCACAGTCAACACACACAGGCACATCGGTTTCATATTATTATTGAAGGAGACACGTTACATTTCTGCTGAATTCTGCACTGGTTTGTGATGGAAATTTCTTAATCATGAAAATAAAGCACCACGTTGCAATTCAGAAGTAGTCCTTGACTTCTTTCATTGTGTCATTTGGGGGTAGAAAGTACAAATACATGTAATATTGGGAGAGACATGTCTGCTGCATTTCCCTGAAATCTAAACTCATACGTAAGATGATTCTTTTCTCACAGAAATTAATATTTCCAGGCTTAAGGTGACATTAATCTCACTTGTGCACTGAACACACTTTTGTTGTAATCAGATATAAAAAATGCACCACCCATTGGAATTAAGACACAAAGTTTCCATCCACAGGATGCAGTACACAGATTAAATGGCACAAAAGAAACCATAAACTGTGATAAAAACTGAATTAAAGTGGCTGTACTGGGAGCTGCAGGGTGTGTAACAGTTAGGAGAAAAACAGCACTGAACAAAGGTCCAACCTGCCCTGAGTAAATAAAGATAAGGCACAGAGAGGAAGCAGAACAGCTGAGGTCAAATATAAAGTGGCACAAATGTGGGGACTGACTGTTTTTAAGATTGATTTAGTATAATACAAAAAACACTTGAATGATCATAATTTAACTCAGATACTGTTAGGAACAACCCTCTGCTTGTTACATTTATTTAAAGTCTGCTTCACGTCAGCACGTTGACTGCTGTAAAAGAGCCAGAGGCTCTACTAGCAGCTGAGCATCATTTAAACACCACAACCTGCCGGAGCTTTGATGCCGTCCCTTTATGACCACAGTGTGCCCACCTTCTTCCACCATGTTAACACACCACATGACAAAATACTCTCAAATATACTATACTCTCAAACTGGTTTCTTAAGCATGACAATGAGTTATCTGTGCTTCAATGGCATCCACAGTCAGCAGATCTTAATCAAATAGCCTAATAACCTAAGCTAATCTAGGAGTGGTCCTCCTAACACAGCTGCACACAGATTTTAGTTGCACCTTCTCAAGTATAGATAAACAGTAGTTAAGCCTATGCAGCACACAAAGACTCATGCACCACTAGGCCAGCAGGGGCTGCACAGGGATCATGTTTAATATGAGTACCCACCACTATAACAGGACACATATGAAAGTGAGAAAGAGGCCATAAAGAAAATAAATACATCTTTGTTCTCAAATTCAAATTTATTACCACAGAGACAGATACAAAGTCACCATTATAGGCTCACTGTGTGTTTTACATGATCTAAAAGTGTGTTTGCATTTCTTGGGCCAAAAACAGGTTTATATTTGAGTAAACACAAGATTTTTACATCATAAAAATGATTTTTGTAATGTGTCACGAAGATTTCCAGGTGGAATGTGTTCCATGGAGAAGTCTTCTAGTCAGAGTCACTGCTGCAGGAGCTGCTGGAGGACTGCAGGAGGGATAAACACAAGATATTTTAAATACTCTGAAAGTATCTAGCACACTGATTTAATCTCAGTTTTATATCCTCCATTCTAAGTTACTGTAAAAGTGATGGCATCAGATCATCAAGGTTGTTGGCTCAGTGTGACCAACTGTGACAAATTCAGACAAGACTGAGCAAGTTATAAAAACATCAGTGTTGAAAGTCGATACTTGGTGAGTTACACTTGGATAAAATGCTTCACTGAAAATCGGTTTTCAGGAAGGATTGCGCAAACTTGCTAGTGTCATCATACCTCACCTCTGTTTGAACTGCTATTCAGTAGTGCAGTGCTGCACTCCTGAATTCTACCCTGTTCGTAGCCTTTCCCTTCCCGAATGTTCACAGCTGGGACACTGGCTTTAATAACCTTTACTCTAAAGCACTAGTCGTGAAAACCAAAACAATAAGTCTTAGGTTGTGTGGAGCTGCGGGAAGCCGCAGATTTGTGTCAAAATCTGTGTGTGATCATGAATTTGAGCAAACCTATTAAGTTACTCATAGGTTTGACACTGGTATTATAAATGAAGACACATGCAGCTACAGGGACTCTGCCCGAGGTCTCTTCCCCTTAGAACAAAACTTACTCTCATCAAGTGCTGCTCATAGGTGATCTTTGGACTGTCTTTTGGTTCTCCCTCTAATATTGTTGAGTATTTTTTATTACAGTAACTAAAGAAAATATAAAGCAGATCTAATAGCATAGCAAAATGTACATTGTTGCATAAATAATCATTTCTTACCCCATGACACTTTTTTCCTTTCTTGTGGCAATGACCATGCTTGTGGCCATGTTTATGCTTGTGGTGGTGACCATGATGTCCATGGCCATGCCCGTGGTGTCCATGCCCGTGACCATGATGTCCATGGTCATGCCCGTGACCATGATGTCCATGGTCATGACCGTGGTGTCCATGACCGTGGTGTCCATGACCGTGGCCATGACCATGCCCATCACCATGTCCATGAGTAGATCCGCAGCCGGGTCCTACCACGTGGCCATGACCTCCAGATTCTCCACAAGGTGAGGTCACTGGACAGCATCCAAATGGACCAGGCTGAGGTGGACATGAAGGTGGTGGGGCAGGGCCTGGTGGACATCCTCCTGGCACTGGATGAGGTTGACATCCTCCTTTTAAAAATAAAATTTTGCTCCTTAAAATTCAATGAATTAATATTTACAAAAACAACTGAGAAATCAGGAAATAAAAGTGATTTCTTTACCTTTGTTATGCCTGAACATGTCAAATGATCTGATCTAAAACCAGAAACTCAAAAAACTTGGTGTCACCCGTTACCTGTTAATGTAAGGGAAAAGTTTAATTGTAATGATAACTCAGAGAAGACGGATAAAAAGAAAAATCCACCTTGAAAAAGACAAAAGTTTAGTTAAATGTTTTTAAACCGGTTAAAATATAGAATCATACGATGTATGAACAAATGAAATGAATATATAAGAAAGCCACAGCACAGTATAATTACTATAAACTTCTCATCAGAAGGAAAGTTCACACTCGTAAACAGACTTTTGTCCATAAAACTAGAAATAGTACCAGATGCATAAACACATATTTCATGGTAATTATTCCTACATATCCACGAATGGACTTACTGTGTGTTGCACTGCAGATCAACAGACACAGCGTTCAGCTGACCCTGCCGTTTTATAAAGCCACACCTCTATTATGAAATCCATCTTACATCATCAGGGGCAAGCCTGAACTCCCACCACAAGATGTCATGCCATCATTTGTTAAATTAATCCCAGCAAACACAATGATGGATTTCATAGGATCTGTGTCTGGTGCAGCTACTAATAAATCATCAGAATCAGAATCAGAATACTTTATTAATCCTGAGGGAAATTAGGGAATCATCATCAAATCACAGCCTTTGTGTTTGTGCTGTGTTACAATTGGAATGTCCGATCTTGTTCCATAGACTATATTCAAAACATAGAGACAATTTGCTGGTCTGCTGATGTGAAAGTGCCTCAAACTGTCATTTTTTTGATCAAGGTCAAATGTATTTATATAGCACTTTTCCAGACAGACGATGCTGCATAAAGCTGTGTGTTAAAAGCCAGGACATAAAAATATGTCTTTAGCAGTGATTTAAATTAATCAAGTGTTTGTTCAAGTCTAATATTTAGAGGAAGACTATTCCAAAGTCTGGGACCTGCCACAGAGAAGGCTCTATCGCCACGAGATTTGAGATTAGTCCGTGGGATGGATAGCATTAATTTTGAGCTAGACCTCATGGTTTTTCCTGGAGCATAAACAGAAAGGACCTCAGGCAGGTAAGAAGGGGCTTGGGTGTTAAGTGACTTAAGAACATAAAATAAAAGTTTAAATTGGATCCTGTAGGAGACAGAAAGCTAAAAAAAAATTGGGGTTATATGCTCTCTTTGTTTGGCATTATTTAGCAGGTGAGCTAACTGGTACCAAACGGAGATGTCCAAAATAGTCTTGGCTCTGTAAAAGGACATCAGACAAAAAAACTGAACAGACCAGAAAAGAATAATCAGTTTTCATATTTATTTTTTCAACACAAGATAACCATATAGCGGAAGCTGATTATAGGTTTACACAAAGTGTGTGTACAAAAAGATGAATTTGTTTTCCAACACTAAAAAAACTGCATTCTCTTTGATGACCAGCAGGGGGCAGCGAGGTGCAAAATAATTTAATTGCGTGATTTCACAGATATACTTGCTTCTGATTTATGAATTCGGTGAACAATTTCCAGATGATTTTAGTTCTACAACATAATGTTATTTTTGAAAATCATGTTCCAGAGCAAAGAGACACTAAAGTAGGCTTTGCGTTAAGGCAGAGCTGCCTTGTGACTGACAGCTTGCTACCCCGTGAGAATGCAGTTTGCTCAGTTTCTCAGGTAGAGTTGAGCCACTCTTGTCATGTTCTAATTCAAAAACAAACATAGGAAAGCTCAAGGCTTCACCCCCATTCTCTGCGACCTGCTGGAGCGGGGGGGCTAGGAGGAGGAGTTGGCCGTCCGACTGCGGTCTGGAGTGTGGGGCCTCCCTGCTGCTGCGGAGTCGGGGCGGTCTGCCTCCCCCCACCGCAGGGAAAAGGGTAACACCACCTGGGTCTGGGTGCAGTTCCCCCCTCCAGGGGCAAGGGTACCTAGACCCGGTTTGTAGAGTACGCTTGGGGAGTGTGATCGTGTGTACAGCGTCTCTTTATGTCTGTCTCCACGTTGGTTGAGTGTGGAGTAAGTGCATATGAGAGCATGAGGGTGGGAATGGATGTTTGTATTGTGTGTGCCTGTATTTCTGTGTCT